CTTAAATATAGTGATCACCTTTTATTAAATCTCATGGGCTATATTAAGAGAGAATTCAAGTTAATCTCTGAGATTGACATGAAAAGTTAATCTCCTCTCACAATATATTGTTTTACTTTTATTTTTAAAATAATAAAAGTGAAATAGTAAAGTGGCACGAAAACAAATGCATAAAATTGTGAGAGAATGTTAATCTCGGAGATTAACTGGGGCTCCCTCATTCTTATATGCTGGAATTATGAGGTACATTGGTTGAAATTTACTGGATGTTGTTCATGAATTTATGGAATTTGATTATATAAGTTTTGTAATTTTGGTGCAATTTGAGAAAAATAGGAATTTCAATTTCAATTGAACTTGTTACGATGATTTTAATGTTGTAGTGTAATTGTTCATACAATTTGTTATTCGTTGAATTTTATTGGGGTTATTCTTAATTATTTCAAGCCAAATTTGTAGATGAATCAATGCAAAGCTTACTAGCATATAAAGTTCTTGAATATGGAAACAATGATAAAATGTCAATTACTGGTTGCTTGTTCTTCCTGAGGAAAAGCCAAGATTTGAACCTTGGTTGGAACAAGAGAATGGCTGCTCATAATCTAGTCTATCTATATGTGTTCCTGTATGCCTTTTGACCGTTCAGTTGAGGACCGGGAACTCGATAGGGGTTTACAGTCTCCAGCTTCATTTATTGCTTTCCCTAATCTATGTTTAGATTTGTTGTTGGTTTGTCATGAAAATTGTAATATCTACACTGTATTTTGCTGATGAATATTCATGAGACTTTCAATTAGGCTCCATTTGGTTTGATGTACCACAAGGATCAAGATGATGGATGACAACACTTTTTACTTGAATTGGAATTTGTTCAGTGTTTAGCCAGTCCAACTTACATCCATTGTATATTACTTCTCCTATAACTAATGATGTGAGACCTGGGGTTGCACAATGTGAACTTCAAAATAAACGGAAAAGTTTTACCTGTGTGCAGATTTGGCACAGAATTGCTATTTTGAAGACGAGATTTTCATTGGTTATTTGAAATACCTTCAGTATTGGCAGCGGCCAAAGTCTTAAAAATATATAATGTAAGTATATTTGTTATGTCAACTTAATAGCTGATTTGAAACATGCAATTTGCCAAATGGATGATACTTTTTGTAAATTTATTTTGGCTAGCCTATTCTCTTGCCTGTTAAGTGTTGACATGACACTGTCACATTTAGGTATCCTCACTACTTGTTCTTCCTCGAGCTGTTGCAAAATGCAAACTTCTGTAATACAATAGCTCATCCCGGGAGCAAGGTAATTATGTTATCTTATTTCTCTTTTATCGACTTTGATTGATGCATCAAAAGCTTGGAAATGATGAGGATGAAAAGAATTGTTTGTGACTTGTCATTGGTTTTGGAGCAAGGGCATTTGTACTACCCCATGTAGCCTGTTCTATAAATTACACCTTAATTTTGGAAACAGCATGATTCGTGTTGGTTTACCTTCGTGCCCTAATGAGCTAGTCAGCTAGCAATAGTAATACATGGGTTACCTAGTTTATCACAGTCCTTCTAGCAGTTATCCAAGCTTTGTTCTTTTCACCATAAATTCTGAGTTAGAGGAAATGTAAGATTTTTTTTTTTTTTTTTTTTTTTGACATGATATCCAAGGAATGAATTGTTTTAGTTTTGCTTGCTGTTGCAAATGATATGCTGGATTTCCCTTTTCCCCATTTCCCTAAATCTCTTGGTGGAGGTTAGGGGGTTAAAAGTCCACATGTTTAGGATATGGGTTACTATATGATTCTTCGACCTAGTTATTTCTAAAAAAAGGTCCATCACAGTCTTGTGATAGGAATGTCTAGTTTTACAAATAGGTCTATCCGTCTATCACAAGTTCAGGTGCATAAAATACCATGGGCTTTAATATGGAGTTTTCACTTTAAAAGTACCCAAAGGCCAAAGCTCATTGCCATTGTCATAGTTTATTACCGACCAGTCGACTACCAAATGGACTGTCTACTTGATAAATATTGCTTCAATGTTCATTTCTTCTTCCTATTTACCAAAATATATAATATGAATTGGGCAATAGCTTCAATACCTGGACATGATTCTTCTATTTTATAGGAGAGATACATGATTTATCTATATATTTATTTTAAGGTAAGGAAAAGGATCCTAAACCAGACCTCAACCCTCATGGTTTTGAGTTGTCTGCTATTTAATACAATTGTATTTGTCATCAAATTCTAGAGAAAAAATAATTTTTCAGCAGGAATTCAGGATGCTCTTACATGATCAACTATCACTTCAAAATTTTCAGGAATTGACTCACAGATAACAGTTTTATTTCTGGAAGAACTACAGAAACAATAGGCTGAAATACATTTTCCCCAAATTCATTCCCGAACCTGCTCCTGCACCTCCACCTTCAACTACTGCCCACCACCCCTACCGCCTGCTATTCTTTCAATTCCGGCTACTTCTCCAGCCCTTTCTCCTATGCAATATGTTTTCCAAACTGCATCTGGTGTTGCAAGAATGACATGATGTATAGTGGCATTGATCGAAAAAAGAGAAAGTAAGCTTGTTTTTACTTGTTTGAACTGGAGAGCACACATTGTGCATGTAGCATATTCAAGTTGCACATTGTTTAAAATAAAAGAATCAAAAGTTGAACAGATACTAATGCCAGATATGTGCTTACAGGAAAGAAAGTTGGCCATCTTGACTGCTTCTTATGCTACTTCCTACTGCTAGATTTATTTCTCTCTTTGAGGGAAGCAGGAGTATGTCAGTATGGTAAACCTTCTTATCAGAGTCTCATCGAAGGTTAAACCATGTCTTTCTTTTTTATTTGTCCCTTTTGTACTAGCTCATCAAACTTTGCCTTTTCTTATCAATTTAATATTATGGATGGATTTTAACATCAGATACAGAAATATATAAAAAGTGGACTTCACATCCTCTATAACAGAAGTCGAATAATATAGATTTCATTTAAAATTAGTTATAATTATTGTTTATTGACCTTTTGGTGTCTAAAAGCATTGGTAAATGTATTTGATTATTTTCAAAGCCTGCAGTTATAAGTAGATAAGAATCATTGTAAGTGCTTAGAGCCTCAGAATTTCTTCCTGGCCTTGCTAATCCATTCTCTAATATTGTGACAGGTAAGAGGGGGATAAAATTAATTGAAGAAAACTCTTCTGTCACTTCTCTAGTTAGTGTTCTTGATTGATGTGTGAATATGACACAGTGTGTCTTCTTCTTGTCTTGCCCTTCCTAAATTGATGTGTGAAAATGACACATTTTATGCCCTTTTCTGTCTTGCCTTTCTGTGGGACAGATACCTTAAACAAGTACAGAAGAAGAAGAAGAACATGTTCATTATGCTTAAGTAAATGTAAACACATGTTCAGTAAAATGTTGTTTAATAGCCTCTTTTTATTGGTGTATAGTTACTATGCATATTGTTGATAATTACCACCCAGCAATTTTACCAAATATCTTTGTAAATAAGTCAATTCAAAGTATCATTAATTGTTCAAACAAAAGTCAATTCAACAGCAATAGATGGGCAAGTGCTGTGTTAGACTTAGATGTATATTCACACTTTTCACGCTTATCTTACCATGTTCACCCATTATCACTTTGTACCCTTTATTTTGGATTTTGATCCATATCTTAGGGTAGTCATTAGTAATGGTGTTTGATAAAATTGTTATTCCACATTTTCACTCTGAATATGAATGGTTTCTCTAGCCTTTGGAAGTGTAGTTTTGAGTCTTTTGACCATGCTCTCTAACAAAAGAAATACTAATGCAATGAACAAGTTAAAGTCGGTCGTGTTGAAAACATTTACTTTAATCCAACTTAATTAATCTTATGTCAAACTCTTTGTCATAAAGTGCAATTTAGGTTAGGATAACTTATGCCAACTCTAAACCTCCGATTCATCTCAAACACAATAAATTGAATTGTTGCCGGCCTTGCCGCCCCAAGGATAATGCTCTTTCTTGATGGGCTTGCAAATAATACAGATGACAATGAAAAAGACCTAACAGAAACTGTGAAAGGGAAAAAAGAGAAGCTAGACATAATCAAGGCAAAGGAAGCAAAAAGAGGAACAAAGAAGACAGCAGCCAATGATTTCCCCATGCAATTTCCATGCTTATCTAACATAAAGAGCATTAAAGTAAAGGCCCAAATTTCAGGGGGAAAGCTAAATTGCAACCAAAGAAGCCGTAGCTTGCCCAACACCCTTCACCCAGCCCTACAATGACAGGATATTTACTTTAATCTTTAATGCAGATTTTTTTTTTTGGTGGATAGGTTGGCTAGGTATATTCTCGGCCTTCGTATCCAGGCCATCTTGGACAACTCGTCGAACCTCAACACCCAGACCCGAATCTGACTAGACCTCAATGCATAGTCGTTGTTAGACCCTAATACAGAGAAATGATGCATCCGAGACTCCATTCAAGTTGTTCTGCAGGATATTCGAGATGTGGCTTTGATGCCACCAGATCACTGACTAGATTGGCTCTACTAATGAAATTTGCAAAACACTACATGTGTAGCAAAGAACTTTTACCATAAATAAACCTGAATAATTTAATCTAGATTTATGCTAGATTCGCGGCTCTTCCATGGGTGATTAATCACAGTACAGAGAAGGGGACATAAAATTTACAGGTAGAACTTTCGATAACAAGCACAAACACAAATTACACGAACATAAAATTCATTAGATATAATCATATTAGCTAAAGGAGTTCATTGCATAATTCAGATCACTTGCACATTCAAATGTCTGCTTAAGGCAGAATTCAGCATCTCTTAAAAGGACTCTTCCAGAAACTATACAGGCAGAAATCTTGTTAGCAGCACAAGCAAAATCAGCAGCTATGCTCTTTTCTTTGTTCCCACCCCACTTCCCCCCAAAGAAAAATAAAAGTTTAATAAGAGATTACGAAGTAAACTAAGTTTCTCGGGATACTAATCTTTCTTTGAGGATGCCCTGCTACTAGCTACACTCCATTGATCTGAAAACCCGGTAGAGGCGGCCCCATTGCAGCCACATTTTGCTACGGTTCTGACACTCTCAATCAACTCCTCAGTGCGCGCTTCTTGTGACAGTATCTCCACCAACTGCTCTGGAGTTATCACCAGCTTCACCTTCCAAACTCCTTCTTTTGCTCCTCCTCTATTGCTGTACCTCGAAAAGACATCAGTATTTGATCTCTTGAGAACATTGCTTTGAGTTGTACTCCTGCTATCAAAGGACATCCTATAACCTGCATTCCCTCCTGTTGTACCTGTAGGTATACTCTTGGATCTAACATGCCCTACCTTAACATCAAACTCGTCTTTATATTCTTTACTCGTATGAAGCGGAAGAAGCAAGTACGAAACTCCAGGATGAAGCTCTTCATTGTTTAACAACGGCTTCCAGAAGAGATCATCACTCTTAAAAATGGCGTGGCAAGGAAATTCTTCCAAGATGAAGCCAACTGTTATAGGGCCATGGAATTCCATAATACCGCCATTTGCTGTGACAACTTGGATGGTCTCAGCCTCCTCCGCACCTCCCATGCCACCAAACAAGCAATTTCCCATGATGACTAGTACTAACTACTGGTTTGTTCCAACTATAAGAGGCTTTTTTGACACAGAAAGCATTTTCCAGTCATCCCCTTAATTTCAGCAATGCAGTTATGCTGATCTAGTGGGATTCTGGTATAAATGCAGGGGGGTTGGTTTTGGTCGGCAAATTATTGATTTATAACTTGTGAAAAAAAAAAAAAAACTAGTTTTAAACCCGGGCAATGCCACGACTATGTTCTAAAATAGTGAAGTATTAAATTCATGTTCCCCTGGTCCCCTCACCTCAATCTTTACTAATCTTTTGACTAACAAATGATAAGAGAACAAACAAAAAGCGATTCATCTTATAACAAGAAAAACCAGATCTAAGAGTAATTCAACATCACGCTACGAGCACATATAAATAAGCCAGTGTTAAGCAGTGGTCTGAATCTGATGGTGTCTCCAACATCCACAGGCTAAGCCAAAGAAAGATGGTCAAAAACACACCCAAGACTCATTGAAGTGGTCCACTAAACCTCATCATAACCTTCACTTTCCCTTTAACAAAGGCTATGTCTATATTCTATACCAAGGAATAAGAATTTTTTTTTCCCGCTGCTTTAAAAAACAAAATATATTCCCAATCCCAAAGTATCACTATCCTTTTAAAGTAAGTGGATTATTATGCAGCAATCAACTGCAGTTTGCAGCTAAAAAGGTTTATATTAGTGGTTGTTAACTCCACTAATACATGCACTTCTAATTAAAGAAACATCAAAACTACAAAATAGAATATATTGCCCTCAAAATCCTCTAACTTTAAGCCTGAATCCACCTTATAACCACATTCCTAATGCAAATGACTTATATAGTATCTGGCAGCTCAAAAGGTAACAAAAGTATGCAGCTTAATAGAAAAGAAATACTAATATATTTAAGTAAGAACCACTAATAACTTTCCATACATGTAAGATGTAACAGTGTAACACCCCACTCACATATTCATTTAAAAAATAATAATAAAATAGAATAAATTAGGTTTAGTCCGACACAATGCATAGAGTTTAGAGTTCATTCACAATTATTTCTACCAAAAGCCTACATAAACTTCGGGAGAAAATGATGTACATGAACTCGAGGATGGTTCCGGACTTTAAATCCACCCAATGCCCAGTAGCTCCCTTTAGACTTTTGTAAAGAAGAAAAGGAAAATTCAACAATAGCATATTAGCATCCCACTTTTTTACTCTTTAACATGTTTTGTATCTTGCACAGGCTGCACTACTTTTACTAATTACTGCCAGCGCAGTGTTTGAGACAGATACTGCTTAATGACAGTCTGTTACTCAAGTAACTCCATTAATATGATGTAATAACTACCAAAAGGTTCCAGTTGCTAGAAGCTTCCTGTATCCCCTCAGGGGACAGATGACAGTTTGTAACTTCCTAAACCCAAGCTCAACTTTCACAGTAAAGTGTAGGTATAATATCACCAAATTTCAGGTCTCAGAAACAATAACAAATCTATAATGGTTTCACATCCCCAGGGGGACGCTATAAATTTTCCTTACAACCTGTAGAGTGACTCGCTTAAGAGTAACAGGCATTAGACACCATCAGCATCCCAAAGAGGTCTGATAAACAAATCTCTGAGTCGGAAAACTCTCGAGAGCAAATTTAGGTAGTAACTAATAAGGCACACCCTAGGGAACGAGGATAAGCGTGGACCCTTAAATCCACTCTCTGAGATGAGGGAAAACATTCTCATCTTGATATGACAAAAGGCAGAGTGAGGGGTAATAAGACCACCTCAAAGCCCCAAACAGTCTGCTTAAGCAAATGAAAGATATATACATGGAAAGTTGGAAACATAGTTCATGTTCCATCCCGTATACAACTAGTACATGTAGAATTCCAATGGCAGATACAGCCATACAGGCATACAGCAGATTACAAGTTAGGCAGGTAATAGCAAATAAATAGCAGATGTGTCAAATTCATGGCAATTCAAGAATCCAGGACGACATAGATAACGTAAACATGAGCTTGAAACTCATAATAGCTGATAGGAAACATTAAAAAAAACCTCAATAACTGCTACCACAATGGGTAATCATAGTTAAGTTATAAGTAGAATTGTCAAGTCAAAAACAGCTGCACCTTCATTCAGCCGTGCATCATATACAACCTTGCAAGATCCTCAAAATTCCATCCAACTCTATGCCATTAAGTAGACCCAAAATGAAATACGATACTCCCTGATAAGAATAATTCAGGCTCAGATAGGCAGAAACACCAAGTAGGAGTATAGCATCTTTACATAGTCATCTATGTCCAAAATATACAAAAAGTACTCCTGTTCCTCAAAAGAGCAAAGATGAATCAGTGCATAGGTTTTCTGGGAGCACGAGGGCGAACTGGTGTCTTGGATGGGCTGACCCTGTACAAATACAATCCACCAAAAACAACACGTAAACAGAGCTGTAGTGAAATACACGGGTATTCATATAAATACACCGAACTCTGATATATGGTATCTGACCTTATAGCCGAAGTTCCCAAGACCACACCACTGCAATTCAGAGCTGCTATAGCACTTTCAGCCTGAAGAGGTCAAATGGTAAAGCGCATCAGTAACATGCTTTAAAAATTCTCCATTGAGTCTTCACTATAATCTTTATATATCCTGTTTTCTTAAATTTTCTCTTCATTCACTAGGTTGATGATTTAAAATAACTATTTTTCGGTTCATCTACTAGGTTGATTACTTGATCAAATCAGAGAATAACAAGTGCTGAATTATTTTCTATTCGCATAGAAGTCAAAAGGCAGCTATACCACTAACACCCACGATCCAAAATACATCAGTGGCAGCATTAATAAAGTGACAGAGTTCATGAAATTGGTAAACAAAACAGATTTATGCCAAAGTCAGCAAATGCCCTTATGCCTTCTGTTGCACAACAAGTATTCGCCTACAAACCTCTGCCTATATTAGCCAACCTTTCAGATAGTTCAACTAGAAAGACAGTACACAACATAGATGGAGACTTTCAGATATTTTTCTATCATAGAGATTAGAAGTAAAGCATGATATACTCTCTAACTGTTGCAAGTTGCAGGACAGACAACCACAGAGAAGTGGAATAAAAATATACTCTACTCAGTTGAAGAAAAATTTTAAGCACCCAAAAGTCACACTCCAGAAACACTAATTTAACCAAGAGGGAACAGATGTATTTGATAGCAAGTAAATGTTAAAAAAATTTATAGTTCAACATTTTAGGAAGTATGCTGACAGCAAGTGCCACAAGAAAAAAGAAAAAAAAAAGTTCCAAAGAGCATGTAATTAGTGCTGCATTTCATTAGAGTTACAGTGGTAGACAAAGAAGGATTAGGGCATTAACCTAAACATCAGTCAGAAAGTGCAGCCATAATACTGCAGGACCACCTAAATTACATATCGACATTCATCATCATGCAATTTACAGCTTCGAGGCTTTTAGACACTTCAACTTATTACTTCCAAACCACAATGTCAGAGGTAATTGTGCTACACTTTCCACTATAAGCTGAGCACAAATAATGCATTCAACACCTTTATAAAAATTTCAAACCTTGAAAAAAATATTTAGAGAGCAGGAGTTAAAAATGATCCCACATTGAAAAGCTCCAGCGGAAAGGTGAAACAATGTTTTATCCTACATTATAATTATTTCACTTCCATAGTATATATGGTTTTTTTTTTTTTAATACACTTCCATAGTATATAAATACTCAATAAGCTTTGACTGAAAACATAATTCAGGAACACAACATTTTAAATTTTTAACTGACTGAAGGTCAGTTATATTGGAGGATAAATCCATTGTTAATTGGGATCAAAAATCACATTGTGCAGGTATTGTGCAGGTATATAGTGATAAGACTTTTATCGCATTAACTAATCCCACATACACCTCAAAAACAAAAAAGTGTATGGTTGAATTGATGTACATAATTTGACATTCTATTCATCAATGTACAATGTTGGACCCTAAAAGGATATAATACCTATTCAATATAAAGAAAAATTAAACAATAAGGTCTAGAACTACAATTTCTCTAAAGTTATTTTACTCAACGTCAGCAATGAAATCTTGAAGCCTTACAACTTCCATAGCCCAAATTATGGGAGAACTAAGATATCAACTAACCAACTAGGTGAACAATGGCAGTAATGACGATCACAGACTTCAGAAAACAATATATATAGGTGTTCAAGTTTAAAACAGAGCACTTATCAAGGAACGACATTTGATAAAATAACAAAAAAGGAACCAAAAAAATGAAAATGAAAATACTTACCATCTCAAACTCAACAAAACAAATACGAGTAGAATGGTGATGATCTCCAAGCATCCTTAAGCGACGAACCTGAAACAAACAAGATCTGCAGTTCAACAAAGACCCTAAACAAAAAGAAAGTAATACAGTAAATTTTTCCAGGCAAGACTAAGCCACAAACCTCTCCACAAATTGTCTCGAAAAATACTTTGATTTCAGTCTGTGAGACCTACACAACCAGGGAGACATACATTAAACCAGCATACAAATTTTGACGATGAACAACGAAAAAACAACTGCAAGAAAAAGAAAAGGCACCTTCTTATCGATATTGGTGCAGTAAACAGTTCTTGCACACATTTCACGCTCATCGTCGTTCTGAAGTCAAAATTATCCAAGTATAATATGTTAAAATGGAGAAACAAAACAATAAGCCTAAAAGCAATATGAATGGTGATGATGGCGATGACACTCACCTGGGGCAAAAAAGTAGGGTTTACAGGAGCAATTGCAGTCTTAGAAGGCAGAACTTTGATCGGATAAAAGCCAAGCATAGTACCAGACAGACTCAATGCAGCCTGTGCACCTTCTGCAGCACCACATAACAAGTTGCTTTGTTAAACTTAAAGAATCAAAGTTTTGATTTTGAAACTACAATAAGGACATGTTCAATGCATTACCCTCATCTGTGAACTCAACAAAAGCGAACCGAAGCACAGAATTCGGGTCACCACAAACACGGCAATCCACCACCTAAAAGAGAGTGATACAATTTACAATACTATTCAGAACTAATGATAAAATTCAACAAAAACACAAAGAAAAACTACTGCTTGTAGACTAATTTATTTTTAACAAATTCAAAAGCAAATACTGCCAAAAAAAAACTGATAGAATTTGAGTCTATGAAATCAAATACCGGTCCATAGTTGATGAAAAGACCAGCCAGCTGCTCTTCAGTAACCTACCAAAAAACCCCCAGATATAATTTTAGAAAATACAAAAATGATTTAATTTTTTCTTTAAATGAAAGTGATAGAATACCTGTTGATCAATATCAGAAACATAAACAGTCCTTCTAATAACTTCTTCCCTTTGTGCCATACCAGTTCGATTATTTGGCCTACGCTTTCCTTGACCATAATTACCCTTCTTCTACACACAAACAACCCATTTCAATAAATGACAATCTTATCACACACAACAACAGATTCAATAAACAGTTAAAAATTCACAAAAAAAAAAAACAGAAGAAAGAAAGAAAAAAAAAACAAAAAAAAAATCACTCGAACCTTTCTCGGATTAAGATTATTCTGAGGATTCGGGAAGATTCGAAACGGATCATCCATAGTAGGAGGACCAAAATTAGGAACAAACGATCGAGGAAATTGAGGGGGAAATTGATGCTGACTACTGAGAAGAGATGGCGGAACAAATTCTTGAGCACATGGGTTTAATTGCGATAACATTTCCTCCAATTCCCTCATTTCTCTTTTATGATTTTCATTGTTGTTGGTATTGTTCGTGTTGTTGGAGGTCCGATTCATTGATGACCCATTTTCAGCACCCAAATCACCCTTAACACCATTTTCAACCACTGCCATTTCTTCTTCTTCCTAAACTCTCAACAACTCTTCTTTTTCTCTCTCCTTTGAAAAATCCGCCTACCTAATTCAATCAATATAAAACCACATTAAAAACTATAGATTATAATACTGAATATAAAAAAATTATAGATTTGATAGTATAAAAGAAATTAAAGAAAAGGGTATTACCTGGGTTTAAGGAAGTTTGAATGATCGAATGAACTACACAACGAGTGATTGATTTATTTGAAACCTAACCCCACCTCGAGATTCTTCTAAAAGGGGGGAAAGATTAAGAAAAAAAATGGGAAATTTCTATTTTTATGAAAGAAAAAATTAGGGCATTAAATGAGAAAGTATTGGAATGAAATTAGAGGAGAGAGAAAATTTTGTCGTGTTGGATCATAAGGTGAAAGGGGAGCAGAAGATCAAGTTTGAGTCTGCTACAAATCCTTCCAAAAATGGCGAAAAACGCTTCCTTTTTCAGAACCTACTAACTTTTTTTTTTTTTTTTATGGGTTATTATTATGATTGATATTTAAAAAATAAAATTGTCATGAATTTTTGACGTATTGGAAATATGAGAAAGAGGTGCCAAGTCTAAAGGTGACATGTGGTGGGATTTGATTGGTGGATGTGATGGAGTGGGTTTTGGAGGGTGAGAGAGAATAATGGATGAATAGGATGATGCATGCCACAATGTCCCATGCTAATATATGATCTAGATTTTAGAGATATAACTAAATTGTTTGATTATCAAGTGATAATTGGTGAAATTGGGAGTGGTTTCACTTTATTATTACCTTAATAAAGTGTGTAGAAGCTTATCAGTTACGATTTTTGGATTTAACAATTTTAGGGAAGAAGTCTCGTTTTATTTTCTTGATAAGCATATTTTCTTTAATAAGGGGTAAAATTGTAATATCATATGCTAGTATACGTACAAAATTACGCATTTATTTATGACATTGTCATTTGAAATAACATGAATTATTTATCAAGAAAATAAACTTGAATTTTTTTTCGTCTATAGTCTTGTGGTTGAGGTTTTTAGCTTGTGAAAAGTTCGATCTAGTAGAATTTTTTCCATATACAAAAAAAATGATCATTGGATCTTACATGTATTAGTCCAATTTAACTACTCCGTACAACTCATATTCTTTATTTGACATGGAGTATTGGATTAAGTCAATAACTTATTGTGATAGAGTATAAAACATATTCCTGGGCCTCAACCATCAGCCATCAGCTTTGAGGCCCAGGAATATGTTTTATACTCTATCAAATTGGTTTAGTTTAATTTGTTTGGTTGGCATTAAAGAAATTACAATTCCTAAAAAAAAAAATGAATTTATAGAGGTAGGTAAATTTTTTGCACAATTTTCCCACATAACACAATATACTCTTTAATATATTTCATTTTCCTTCATTTACATTTTTTTTATTAGCATTAACCAAACAATAGTCTTTAATGTATTTTTGGTACGTACATAAAATTGGTGCAATCATATGCCATGGCAATGACAATGATATACTCCGTAGTTTTGTTATATCAATGTATATATATGTAATGTGTGTGATATTGACATGATGTGATACATATAAATGTTGAATGCACACAAAATAAATGGGATTAGGAGGGTAGTACTAAGGCGGTGTAAGAATGAATGGAAAATGGGAGAGTTTGGTTAACCAACTCGTGAATAGTTGTTATGTAGTGCTTTAATAACTTTGATAGGTGGCGGTACACTTGGGCTAGTAGTGGCCTATTGCGCAATAGTGCACCGCACCCTAAGACACACACATACACCCACCTCATACCCTGATGGTACTTGCTTGGTTGTGGCATGCACAGCTGCTGTAGTCTGCAGGAGGACAAGCCAGCTTTCTTTGTCCCTGCACTCCTACAGTTCTTCGCCAACCCTTTTTGTCGTTTACTCGCTTTACTCATACACTATTACACTCATACTTTTCATTGGATTATTATTGGACCTCAAACTAAACCATTTGCACAACAGTTTATAAACATGGCCCAGCAATAAATCTTGGCCCCTTTTAGTCCCAAGCCCAATTTTTTTTTGGGTGTTCCACTAGCCCAACTTTATTAATGACTCTGTATAAGGGCAGGTTCACATTTACTAAATTGAGCTGAACTAAACTGAATGTTTTATGAGAGAAGGAAATTAAAAGTTGAATTTAACTCAACTGATTAGAGCTTAACTCAACTGAACTAAGCTGAACTGAATACTTTATGAGAGAAGGAAATTAGAAGTTGAACTAAATTGATTGGAGCTGAACTAAATTGATTGGAGCTTAACTGAACTGAGATTAAGCTGAAGTGAACAGAACCCAAGTTAATATAAAAAGATAGTATTCGAATTCAAACAATGCCTCAGATTATTACATGAAATTTAGATAGTATCCGAAATCAAACAATGTCTCAGATGAAATTAAGCCAGTAACCTTATAATTAGGTCACCGATCATTTGACTTATTAAAAGAAAACGCCCATCAAAGTTGAGATTATTAAAAAAATAATTGAAATTTATATTATTAATAGTAAATAGCCCAAAATTTAGATTAATAAAATCAAATTTATATTTCCTATATTTCTTCTCTTTTAGTGTTAATCAAACAGCTACTTAAATTGTATTTCTCATAAATTATAACTTCCTCTTTTTTTTCTTTTTTCTTTTTTTTTTTTAACCTAAGGCAAGATTGTGAGGGGAACACTGCCTTCTAATTCTTTTTTCCTACTAGGTGATAATTGTAGGTGAATAATGTTGGAAGTTTTTGAGTGAAACACAAAGAAAATGTTAGAGAAAATAAAAAGGAGAGTTCTAAGTCGATAAAGTTCAAATTTTCCTTTTTTTTTGGGAAGTATTACTTGTTTGAGAAGTGAAAAGTGTGTTGTGGCCTTCTTATCATTTTTATATCTGTTTTCTCTTTGCTGGTTTATTGTTATTGGAACATTAACTTATGTCCCGTGTAACACACAGTTTTTACAACTTAATTATGAATTATAGAGTTAATTTAACAATAATTTTCAATTCCAAATAAAATAAAATAAAATAAAATAAAATATAAATGTTTTTGATTAGGGGATTTTGCTCCCACCAATCGGAATGCGCCACGTGGGCCAATCAAGTCCTGCCAAGTGTCCCCCAGTTGGAACTGTCAGGGCTTGCCACGTGGCACACGCCTATTCGTCCACCCTGGACCTATTATGTCAGGACACGTGGCATACTCCATGCCTAATGGAGAAACCGGCCACCTAGGCCCAACTTCCGAGGGAAGCCCAATCAGCCCAAGGTTAACCTAAACCTAGGATTGGCACGTTTCCCAAGGTTATAAATACCTCCTTTAAACCTCATTAAGAGAGATTACGCACATTAAAAACTCTCACCTAGAGAGACCCAATCACTTTAATTTCCGCATTAATTACTCCTTAATCAAGTACTAACTTGACCGTCGGAGGCGGATCTCCAATCATCCGGAGCATCCGTTTGTTTTGCAGGTACAGGCGTCCGGTTCCAGTCTCGGAATTGTAACTCTCCCGCAGGACATCAGAAAACCCCGAAACATTTTGGCGCCGTCTGTGGGGAGAGTACTTTTGAGATGGCATCCACGTCTGTACCGACTCCTGAAGAGAGGCGTCCCCTAGACGATCCTCAAGTTCAGTCGGACCATGATACTGAGAATGAATGTGAAGTTGAAGCTCACACAGCTTCAGACGAGACCCTAAGGGCCCGACGCACCCGTCATACCGAAAGGAGGGAACGGGAACATCTTCAAACTGGACTCAGTGATCCAGCAGGCGCACCGCCTGTTCAACAGCAGCCGACTGATGGGTCTGCTCCCATTACAAGGAACGAACTCATGACCTTCATGAGGGGCTTCAAGGGAGAGATTCAAGAGTTGCTCAACAAGAAGCCTGCTCTGGCCAAGGAACAGTCGGCTAAGAAATCTTCCACTTCAGGGAAGAGGAAGCCAGTTCAAGGGCGAGAGACGACCCCTCATCCTAACTCTAGGAAGTGGGAGCCGCCTGCCCTTGATTTCACAAAGTTCCGTTTTCCTACTCCAGGAAAGAGGAAACCTGTTCGTCATATTCAGGCGGACGGGTCGAAGAAAACATACACAGATGCTCGGTTATTGCTAGAACAGAAGAAGAACGACCGATTGTCAAAGTCGGCCTCTACTTCAAACTTCCAAGACGGTCTGCGCAATACCTCGATGAGGCATACTCAGTCGCATCATGAGAGTCAGTCAGGCGGTACCTCCCGTCAGTCCGGCTTTCATAGTGACCAGGCGGTACCAAACTTACCATTTGTACCGCAACAACAATATTTTTTGCAGCCACCTCTGTTTGGTGGGCATGCAGCAAAGAATGTCCCACCTATGGACTGGCAGCTACGGTTGCTTAGACTTGGAGAACAGCCGTCGGCCTTCTCCAAGGAAATTGCTGAAGCCGCTCAGTCGGCCAAAGTGAAAAATGTATTAGTAGGCGCCTATGACGGCACTACTAACCCAGAAGACCATTTGATGGCATTCACCAACCTGATGTACCTTCAAGGGTTGGACGATCCCACTTGGTGCAAGTGTTTCCCAGCGACTCTCAAAGGAATCGCACAACAATGGTTCGGCAACCTGCTGACTGGTTGTGTGAATAACTTCAGGACGCTTGCCTACTTATTCACCTCCAACTTTGCCATGAACATACCTGCGAAGAAGACGACCCTTGATTTAGGAACGATTCAGCAGGGCGAGAAGGAGGGGCTTCGTTCTTACATCAGGCGGTTTAACCTGATGAGAATACATATTCAAGGGTTACCGGATGAGGTAGCCTATACTGACTTTTTCAGAGGCCTCAAAGACGGATCGACATTCAAATTTGATTTGGTCCGAAAGAGGGTGGCGACTCTTCAAGAGGCCTTGATTGAAGCGGAAGCCTATATACAGGCGACTGGTCTTTGTAGTACAAAACAGTCGGACGGGAAAAGCTTCGACAAAAAAGAAGGGCGACAGAAACAGTTGTCGAACAAAGATGAGAAGAAAAGAAAAGAGGTCTGGGCGGCTGATTCCTCTAAACAGCCGGCCGAGAAGAAGAAAAAAGAATTCAAACCATACTCCCCAAAGTATGCGTTTAACAAGGATAGCCAAGCTATCCTAAAGGAAATCAAGGGACGGATCTCAATTGAGAAGCCGGTCCCCATGAAGGGTTCTGCAAGCAACCGGAACCAAGAAAAATTTTGTGATTATCATGAAGATGTTGGTCATCACACCAACGAATGCATCAGTCTCATGCGGTATCTGGACCGCCTGGCTGAGCAAGGCGATCTTGACTCTTATGTCAAGAAATCCACGGGGAACACTTCCTCGAAAAAGCAGTCGGCCAAAAATAGTCAACAGGCCGACAGCTCTGATACAGATGATGCATTTGTCTACACCATTGCAGGCGGCTTCGCAGGAGGCGGTCCCACTATTAGGGGCAACAAAGACAATATCAGGCGGCTAGATGTAAATTTCGTTCACCAAGAACAGCCCTCCAAATATTCATTTCCTGAGATTGTCATCACTGAAGAAGATCTAGGAGGGGTAAGGGGGCCGCATGACGACCCTATCGTTATTGAGTGTAAAGTGGCCAACCAGAGAGTTGGCCGAATCCTTATAGATACTAGAAGCTCCTCAGATCTTATCAGTAGCAAATGTCTGTCAAAATTAAAATAT